CCCCCCCCCCCCCCACCGCCCAGAGCCTCATGCTGCGGTGCTGACGTCTATCGCGCGGGGTTTCCTATACTCTGCGGAAGCGGCTGCTCGTTCGGAGGGCGGGGGGAGTCCGTCATCGGTAAGAGGGCAGCGTCGGCTTCGTTCTTGAAATATATATTTTCCTACTACATACATTGCTGTTGCTGTCGCTATTTTGTCGTCACGTGATATGTATATCGGTAATCACGTTGTTTTTCAGTCTTGAAAAGCTCGTGCTTGCCTGCCCGGCGCCTTCTGTCTTTTTGTGGCCCAAACTCTGTGTCTCGTCTGTGCTTCCAAATAGTCGGGTGGTTGTACGCGCAGAAGCAGTCCCTGGTTGTACTCCTCCACTCTAACGGATACATACAGCAACAGAGCACGTTCCGCCCCCATGGAACACCCGGCGTATCGCCCCGTCCCGGCATTGTAGGGATGCGAGGTCAATGGTCTAACGCCTACGGCATGGTACCGTTTACATGTGTGCTCCACCCATGTAGCCCTCTCGGTTCCCGTTACCCATCTCCCTTAGCCTTCCTGGAAACGCGTATCCCCTCAACGCTTCCGCACTCTCCGACGCTCATTGGTATACCTATCAACACTCTCTTTCCCTCTCGTTATCTCTGTCTCGCTCTCTCTCTCTTTCTCTCCCTCTCTCTCTCTCTCTCTTTTTCTCCCTCTATCTCTCTCGCTCTATCTGTCTTCCTCACTGTCTCTCTCTCTCTCTTTCTCTTTCTCTTTCTCTTTCTCTCCCTCTCCCTCTCTTTCTCTCGATCTCTCATGCCTCCCCGCCACTGCTGCCTCTTCATACCTTCCCTTCTTCCACATCCCCCCCCCCTCCTCCCGGACACAGGGTTCTCTTCTTGACCGAGCCACCAAGTGGTACCTGAAGTCGTCGCAGGCCCTCAGAGCCCAACTCCTCCGGTCCAGCGGCGGGGGCGGCGACAACCAGGCGGAGTTGGTGGTGAAGCACTTCGAGGACGCCCTGCTAGAGGTCGAGCGTGTGAGGGAAGGGTTGAAGAGGAGGAGGAGGGGCGGGGTGCAGGCAGCGGCGGCGGCGGCAACGGCGCTGGTAGCGCAGGGGGCCGGGGAGAGAGGTGGCGGCGGCGGCGGCGGTGGGGAAGACTTTGGAGGAAGGGGCCCCGTGAATGCGTTGGAGCTTGCCCGCGCGGCGCTCGAAACGGAGAGGTGTGAGAGACTGGTTGGGTGTTACTGCTGCTGCTGCTGCTGCTGTTGCTGCTGCTGTAAGGGCACCTCTTGTAGGCTTGGAACATTCTCCGTCTTGTTTTTTTTCATTCTCCGGTATCTGGCGTTTCTACCTTACCTCTTTTTTTTTTTCCGTTCATGTCCCCCGCACGCACGCACGCACGCACACGCACGCTCCGAAACGAATGCGCGTACAAAGTAGACACGTGTCGCGTATTTTTCTTCTGCTGTTACGGTTTCTGTCATTCATCCGAAGAGTAGTTTAGCTTCCCCCATGACGCCTCCTCACCGGGTCCCAAATGATGGCCTTAAGAAGCTTGTAATGTTTTCAACAGCAGCACTGAGACTGACGTCTTTTCATTGGTCGGCCGGTCAGCGCGGTCGATGCTAATAACAACCCAAACACACACACGGCCGTCGGAACAGGGAGCTCCGCGGATCGGCGGGGGGTCAACAGCCCCACCAGCCCCACCAACGGAAGGCGAGGCTTTGCCAGCTGGTTTTCAAGCACGCCTCTGAAGCGTTGTGTTTCCGGGAGGCCTTCGATGCGGTCTGCGACAACCCCATCGACCAGCAGCGGAAGGTGCGCCCCATACACGCAAGTATTCGCGATTTTTGTGTGGGCATAAATAGCGGGGACCTGTACTTCTTCGATGCACGTAACCCCCCCCCCCCCCCCCCCCCCCCCCCCCCCCCCCCCCCCCCCC